CCATCTTTGGTGTCTAGATCAATTAATGTAATTTACAACTACAAGCACATTTCACCTATGTACCAATCAAATAGAATATTCGATTTATTATCACAAGTAACTGTTGTTTAATATCAACATCTGTGGGGACTAATTTACTTTTGAAAGATCTTAGCTGTACTACTCTTATAAATGAGTTTCAAGTGTAAAGCAGCAATAGGAGAGTTTCTACAGTATAGTTTTTATTCTGAGAGAACATAGATTTGTGTTTGCTCCCAGAAAGCACTGGATAGGAAAATGCTGCCTATTTGAGCAATAAATGATGGTGCTATATAATGTAAGTGCTCAAAAATCCAGATATATTTGGAAAAGTGGCTATAATGCTGAAATAAGAATTCTAGGAGCTGACTGGGGTCTTCAAGCAACTTTTGAGTTCAGTGATGTACATTATCTACTTGATTTTCTTTAAAGAACAAATGTAGTCATGCTTTAGCTCTTACAGAATGTGTCAAAATCTCCTCCTTAAGGGAAATTTTACACTTGGCAGCAGAAAATAATAAATATATTGGGTTTTACTAGAATAACCCGATGTGTTACAGTGCAAAAGAGTTTTTTGTTTGTTTGTTTGTTTGTTTTTGTTTTGTTTAAAATTTGATTGAAAACAAAATCACTGAAAACAATTCTTGATCAGATTTTAAATAAGTTTGGAAACATATCTTATTATGTAAAGTAATCTGGAAAAAAGTCGGATGGTAAGAAAGGATCTTGAGCAAAAAGAAAACAAAAATATTTCTACCAGCCTAAGTGATCATCAGAAATTGAAGTAATGATGACAAGTAATATTTATTTCATATTTTAGTAATTTTCCAAAATATTCTGTATTTCCATCCACTCATAGAAACTGAACCCTCATTCTATTGTTTTTTGTTTGTTTGTTTTATTTTGCTTTGTTTTGACAGTGTAACTCAGCTGACTGACTAAGCTTCCAGTAGTTTTTTCCCCATTCTTATGAGCTGTGGTAACTCCAGAGAAATCAAAAGATCTGATTCATTTATGAGTGTAATGCTTCTAAGTTCTGTGGAGAAAGATTGATGCAAGATTGGTATAATTAGAGAGGCGAATGAGGCTATGGAAGTTAAACCACTAGGTTAATCTATTTAAAGGAAACTTTTCTAGCATGGGAAACTTTCACACTAAAAACAAACGAAAGCTAGAACCTAGCAAATGAGATGACAATTATGAGTATGTGAGTCAATGGTCTTAACTCCTTCAATCCAGTAATTTTACAGTTGTTCATGCCACTGTTTATCCTTTCATATCCTTCTCTACACATACAATGCAGAGGCTAAAGTATCTATGGCTCACTGTAAGAGTGGCTTTGCAGGTAATGCTTTATCTAAAGCACCTATTCACAGTAACCACATTCGATCAACAATCAATAATACTTGCTCTTGTACGTTATGATTATTCCGTTTATTTCTGTCTATTAATTGTTCATAAGTACTTTATTTAAATAATGTTGTCAGTGAGAGAAAGCTAAAACTTTAATGGGAACTCTCTTGTCATTATATTATCAGTCTGGGTTATTGTTGCCATTATGTGAGACAAACATGCTTTTAAGATAGCTCTTAAACAAGGATATCACTAGCATAGTAATGCCTGCAGAAAATAGATTCTACTTCTATACTAGGGTTATATGATACTGCTAATGAGATTTATCAGGTATTGTTTGTCATGGAAAGCAGAGCAAGATTCTTGTGTGGAGTGACTGTAAGAGCGGTGTCCTGTTCATTGTGTGTATGGGCATGGGGGTTCTGCTGTTATCTATGAGATTCACTGCAGTCTCTTGTTCAATCTCTGAACTTTCTGACCATTTCTTCATGCAAATTGACTGCAGTGATCAGTCCTTCCATAGGAACAGGAAAAAAAAAAAAAAAAAAAAGGCTGTTTTGTAACAGCCTTCATGGTGAGGAAATTGTATCTAAAGGGTTATTGAAAAGAAGAAACGAAGCTCCTAGAACTGGTGATTTTAATTTTCCACTTGTATTTCTTGTATATTCTGATAGTATAAGGTTCTATTTCTTGTAGGAATTGAATTTTAATGTCCCAAGGGATAAAAGCTGTCAACATTCTTTAGTCCTTGAATTAGGAAATTATGAAACCAGCAGTTGTACAACTGAATGGGCATATGACAATGTGGGTGGATCTCTGAACATACAAAGGAGCCTCACCAAAGTTAGGTGTAGGAACAGAACAATGTAATGAACGTGATCATTCCCTTTCTTAAAAGTAGCTTCTTAAAATTGTGTAGTATTTTCTTTCTGCATCCTTCAATGGTATTTCAAAAATAATTAATTCTATCTTGTTTTGTTTTGTTTTAAATAAAACTTAAGGAATCAAAGTGATTGGAATTGATTCTTGTTGTGTAAAGAGGTTTAAGTCAAATGATACTGCATCAGAAATTGCTTCAGTGTGTATTCCTTACTCACTGCTAACAGATGGCCAGCAATTTAGAATTTCCTCTTAATGAATCCTTAACCAGTTCACTCATACTGATGTATTTGCTATCAGAAGTATTTCCTACTATGTTTGAGCATTTTCTGAGTACACTGAATTTTTATCTCTTTCCATCCCTAAAAAATGGAATTAAATGATCCATTGAATTCAGCCAGCTGTTAGCCAGCCTCCTTTGAAGCCTAAATGGCATGAACTAATTCTTCTCTACTAATTGTTGAAGTTTGTGAGCCCACAAATCTCTTAACTGAACAGGAATCCCAGCAGGCAATATTTTAAGAAGTAACCAGCTGTGTTTCTTTTCCTGTCATTAGGAACTAGCACTGCTGCAGTTGGCATTACAGTAGAGCATCCACAAAACTGTTTGATTCTTTAGAAACATTTGCAGCTTTAACATATTTAATTAAATTCTTCACTCTCCCCAAAGAAGATCCCTAATTAGCCAATATGTGGGTAGACCTCCCCATAGCAATCGCTGAGAGAACTGTGTCTTGTGATTAAGTGCTGCAATAAAGGTTTTCAAATGACTTGCACAAACAAATTGATGCTTGGCCCCCATTTAAACTGGATGGAAGATCTTGGTTATTTGTGCTGTGCATTTGTTGAAATAACCTTATTTATCTTTCAATATGATCAACAATACTGCAGTGACCATGATTAGAATAAAAGATTCAGTAGGCTTTAAATTTGAGAAGCCTCCTCACCTTGGTGGGAGAAATGTTTGTGAAACATGAGCAAGGATCTTCTCAACTTCACTTCTGCCTTCACTGTATTCTGACTGTAGTAACCTAATTTTATTTTGACCATATTCTTCTCTACTTGTCTGTAGGTTCCTCATATGTATTACACTTGTATTTATTCCACATTTTCCCTTTTTCTGCCTATGCCCTGTACCATTAAATTCCCTCTACTTCTGCTAAATCTAATCCAGAGAAGTGGTTGCTTGCTTTATTTTCCTGTTATTCATCCCTGTGATGTTTCAACGCTTAGAGCTTTTCAGCTTGGTTGCAAGAAAAATATGTTTTACCTAACCTAAGTTTGTCTCTCTGCTCCTATCCTAAAATGGCTTTTACCACTTACATTGAGGTAGTTAAATAAATAAATGTGGTGGTGAAAGTTAAGATCCCTCTGATTACAACCACAGAGATACCTCTGTGGTTGTTCTCAGGGTCTGCTCAGTTCTTTGTCATCATGAATCCCAAGGCTTTGGCCAGAGATTATGGTGTGTTCATACAGATCTGAGTATGAGCAGAATTCTTCTCTGTGGATGAATAAGGTCTTATTTTTTTCTTAAAACAAGCTTTATAACTTCATTACTTCTTAGAACAACTCAATTTCTGCATTATCGTTTTTTTTTCTATCTTCAAGTGTAGTAAAATTAATTTATTTCTTTATCATCCTTTTTTATTATCTTTCTCATGTATTGAAATGGTGAAGAATTCCAGGACACTTTATCATGTAAATGATCATATCAGTGGTGATAAACTTGACTGAAAGAAGTTTTTTCCATTTAGGTTCTGGTATGATGGCCTTCACTATGGTACAGATTGTACCGAAGTTTGTTAGAGTTATGCTTCTAATTGCTAAGCTTCAAATGAAGCCTTCAGATGGCTCAGTGAGCCTCAGGCAGCTGGAAAAAACTGAAGACCTCAAACACTGAGGAAGATCTGACATGCAATATTAGTAAGATTTATTAATCTCTGGAAATGAAAAAATAACTGCAATCTTCTACACTAAAAAACAGTTTCAAGGGAAATTCAGAACAATAGAGAACTTTAAAAAAAAAATTAAAAAAAATTGCTTTTTGCTAAGAATATCCACTTCCAAACATGTAATAAAGCAGGATACTGTCGAGTGAAAAATGTGAAAATATGGAAATCTATCATGTTTAGATCATAGTCGTATTGCATGAGAAATGATATAAAGCCTCCAAATTAATAACTTATTCAGTAATTGAAGGCAAATTAAATGCAAATGAAACTCCTCAAATGAACACGTAATGCTTACTACATTGAGGTTTCAGAACACATTTCTGATGCTGAGTAGAAAAAAATCAAACATGCATTGAAGGCACAGTGCATTTGCAAATGTCATCATCCATTTCTTTTTATGCTTTCCTGGTTTGTATTCTTTGTTTTGCAAATATGGTAATTGAAATGCAATTGTATTAAAATTGGAAGAAGTCATCAAAATTCACCCAGCAAGCACACACTTCTTCCAAAGTTATTTGGCTCAAAAATGTACAAGGGATTTGAAATTTTAAGCTGCTGGTTTTAAAGCTTTATTGTGTTGCTTTTATATGTTCTACTGTGGCTTGAATGAAATCAGAAATATTGACACATTTGTATGGGACTGAAAAAAATGCATGTAGCTAAGTATTTTAAAGCAGGTCACCTGCTAACTTCTGTTGGTAAAACAAATGGCTTGCTGCATATACTGAGGCCTTAAACTTTGGTGAATTGTGTCCTGTTTACACATATTAATTCTTTTTCCTTTCTGTCTTCTAGTTTCAAGATTCCTTCTTCAATATTAAGTTTGTCCCACAGACCAGCACACCTAGCCAGGCGTTTTAATGCAATGTTAGTCATGACTTAGAAATGTGGGTAATCTATGCCACCATGGTTTGTGAGTAAAGAAAATGCAAATATCATCCTGTGACTGAGAGGCTGATTAGATATTACAAGTCTACACACAAGACACATCTTCAGTAATGTGCCATTTGATGAGCGAGGAACTGTAAAGAAAGGCCTCCTGCAGTTGCCGTGTTGCTGTATTTGTCATCAGAGCATATGAGTAAAAGGAGATGGACTTCTTGCTGCACACTGGTACCTGAGGAAAAAAAGTTTTGTGACCAGCACAAGCTACATCTGAGGGCCTGGAATTTCTCTGGAAGAAAACAAAAAATGATGAATTTATAGGAGTTTCTGCCATTATTGCAGAGGATTTTGGAATTTCTGCTATTCTTGGCTGGATGGAGAAAGGAAGAGCAAGGTACTTCTGTGTGTATGTGTATGAGCTGGTGTTAAAATTTCAGTGCCCAGTATAAAAAGAACTAGAGCATTACACTCCCCTATAATGTTTTAGTTGTATACTCTGATCTATTAGAAATTTGCTCAAATGACTGACAATCTCAAATGCTAAATCTTTGTTCATCATGTGCTTTCTTCAAAAGAATCCCTATCTCAGATGACACAAATGCTATTGAATTTCCATGAAATTGCATGATCTCATGGATACTGGGGAGTGTATATTTTATATAAAGTGTCTATGTAGTAGAAATATTGATTGCCATAATTGTTGTACTTAATCATACTTGACTATAAAGTAAAATGCCAGAAGATGTGGTCAGCCTCTCAGCTGATACAGTTGAGAAAATACTGTGAATCAGTAGAGCTGTATTGTTTTGCCCAAGAGAACTTGGCAGAAAGAACTGTAGAAGTTGATGCGATTTTTAATCTGTATTTACCAATCTGTTCAAAAGGTGGATTTTTTTTTTTTTTTTTGCTGTGTGATGTGGGTTTCAGCAGGCACCAGTGTTTTGTAAATGAGATGGTTGTTACATACCCAATGGTACTTTAAGACTTAAAATATTTTTCATAACAAATTCCTCCATTAAGTGTGCCAGCTAAATCAACATTAACCATTAAAGCTTTGTCAGGCAAACCAGGTGTCAACCACAAACCAGGAAAAAGTTCGATGCTGTGCAAGCTACATGCAGGAGGAGATAAACCCTCTGCATTGGCACATACAGTGCTTGCACAACCACAGGCTGATGGGTTTCAAGAATTTGAGTCCCTGGCTTACTGGTTGCTTTTGATAGTGTCTTCACTTTTTTTGACTCTAGTCTTCAGAGTTTGCTTTATGTACATGTACATTTATGTACATTCTTAATAAGTCTGTGTGTATGAGGCTTTTAAAAATAGCCCCTATTGCTGTGAAATTATGGAAACTAAATCCAGCTGGCCTTTCAGTCTCCATGGGTGAAAATCACTAAAATACTTAAAGGTTGCAGGTCACAGTTCTGCAGTAGGTGAAGGTTTTTCTGAGTCACCATGGGTAAATCAGTTTTCCAGCATGGTGGGTCAGAGTCTATCCATGATTCTTATGTCTTTGGAGGTGCTCTCATTCAACTGAGATGTAAATGTGATGGGAGTTTAGTGAAATGCATGGTTATCCTTCCATTCACTCCTCCCCCCCTTTTAATGCATATATAAAAAGGCTAGAGCTGTTAATAAATACATTTATTAACATTCATGAGACTTGTTCTATCAGCTTATCAACTATTAACTGGAAAAGTTGAATGCTTTCACTTATGCCTATTCTTAATATTACAGTTTTGTTTCAAAATATGTTTTAAGGTGTAAATGATATAAAATGGTCTAGATTGGGTCTGTAGATGCAATTCATTTCAGCAAAATTCCATTTCAGGTCTAGTTGAATCCATAACTTTTCCTTGTCATTGTCAGGTTAATCAATACATTATTCATTTTTGAGCACTGAAGCCAAAGTTCAAACCAGTAGCATTTAAGATCCCCTAAATAGTCAAAAGTGTGCACCTGGCTTTATTTTTGACATTTCAAGTCCTGTTTTGCTGGTATGCTGATATTCATGAAACTGTCAAACTTTGATCAAACTGGTTAATCCAATTTAAAGATTTTAATATTCTTGTCTAACCTTCAGCTTGAGATAACCACTGGTGATGGTTTCAGAGAGGAGTGATAGCATATTTGGGAGAAATGCCATATGTGAGAATTTGCAGCTATTACCATTTAAATAGCCTGTGTCAACCTAAACAATACACAAGGGTTTGGATGACAATTTTTGATTCCAAGGAACATTATGCTGTGATAAGTACATGATCCAGACAGACGTATTATGGAGATATTCTGAACTGGGGGCAAACAGGTCTCAAGCAAGGGATGATGAGCAAAACTGCATCTAACACAGAAGGAGCAAGAAATAGCAAATAACTGGAAAGCACTTAAAACTCTGTCCTTTGATATGTACAACATTGTATCGTGACATTCATTGGAGAAATCTTATCATACCAAACTTCTTCCAATTTTCTGCAGTCTATTTGAAGAGGTCCACTTCTATTAGGACAAAATATAATTGTCAAGTAGCATTTTTGTTCTAGCTGCACTAGTACAAATCAAAGAATATCTGTACAGGTCCTGCACTCTGGGTTCCTTGTTCTGTAAATATCATACATTTGCTTACAGGTACATGCCAGAATAACTCATGAAGGTTAATGTTTCAAATACAATTAGTAAAGAATTTTCCAGATTGAGAATTTGAGAACATTGGATTTTTTTTTTTCTATATTGCCAGAGCAATAAAGCCTCTCATAAAAATTCTCAGTAGAATTTTATGAGAATATCCAGAGATATACATGTACACATTATGAATAAACCAAAATCTAGGAAAATAAAGCCCATGGAATCTCAGAGTTATAAACTCGCATTTAGGACCTTGGGTAGGAATGAAGAACGCTTCCTTGCTCCTGCAGTGCTTAGGTGTGGGGAGCTGGAAGCACAGGGCTAGGGGACTGATAATTCCTAGAGAGCTGAACAGAGGCAAACCGAGACAGAAAACACAACTTTTCCTGCCAGAATCTGCTTTCTAGGTTGATGTGATAATACTGAGTGTGTGTTAAATTATAGCTTAACTCTTTGTTGTGTAAGTGTTATGCTTCCATAATAAACACAGGCTGCCTTGGATCATTTGAAAACAGACTTACATATTTGGTGCAGTTTGTTCATGGGGACATTTTTTATATCATCTGCTGAGTGGGTTTGCTCCTACCGCCCTTTTTTTTTTATTTTCCAAATCTGGCTTTGAATACTTGCGAGGAAAAAGGAAAATAGACATCAAGAGGAACTGAAATTGTGGGAAATATGCCTACAAAATTTGTCTTAAAACTTTGAATACTTATTTTTTTCTAACAAAATAGATCAAGGAGCATATTTTTCTAATTATATTCCTTATCTGCTAAGCACTTTAGATTCTCTATTGCTTAAAAACATTTGTTCTCTTTTAATAAATGGACTAGAAGGGTTTGGTCAATACTAACATTTAAGATGCAGTGTCTGCAAGCTTCAAGTTTTACTTAATGTTCCAGTCACATGCAAGGTGAGGCATGACGTAGAGCAGTACAGCCAGTCATAACATTGACCTTGCCTTCAGAACGCCATAGGACAAATGATGTGAATGATAACATTGTTATGTTATTATTATGAATTTCTTTTGATATACTCTAAAATGATCTGAGAATTCCCCTCATGTAATATGTTGCCGGTTCCTTATGTAAAAAGGAACTATATACTACCTTATATACACATATGCTATGTATATACTGCCAAACCACTATGTTACCTATTTAATTTTTCTCTGTATACCTGCCACTCCATTATGTGTCGTTTGAAGTACTGTCAGAAAAAAGATTCCTTACCTTTACTGTTATTTACCCATTTAATATTACTTAAGGAAGGATGATACAAGCAGAAATTTGTGTGTGTGCATACACACGGCGCATGGGCATCTCTGTGGGCCATTACAACTAGACATGGTTGTTCACACTTCAACTGCTTCCTATAAACTGACTACAACTTTAAAAACTTATTATAATATAAAATGTGCTTATGATCTTCCAACTGAAAGGTCTGATGTATGCTGATATCTTGCTAATAGATGGTGTATGGCATGTGTTCATACAAAAAAAAGTGCTGTTTAAAAAATAGCAACACACACTACTGACAATATTAAATGATGCAACCCCATCAGTTTTGAATCAAGTTAGACTTTATCATCATTTATAATTCATCTGAATTCCTCTTAAACTCTGCTTCAAGCATCACCTAGCTGTTTTTGTACTGCAGAAAGATAAAATGCATAGATGTATGTTGCTGCCTAATAAATCTCTTTCATGTTTTTCACTTGCAGAAGCAGAGTACCCTGACCTTGGGAAAAGGCTATAATCTAGTGTCTTTATAGAGATGAGGAAGCTGCTTTGACAAGTAGAAGTTAAACCCTAAATGGTCCGGGACTATCTAGCCATTGCTTAATCTTCTTAATATGGTAAGACAAATCCCATTCTTCATTTTTATATTAACATATTTCAATTTTATTACAGTTTTTAACTCTTAAGCAGAGCTGTAGAAGCTTAGATAGAAAAGCCAGGTGAGCGCATACATTAGTTAAACAGAGGAACTACTCAGCTTGGCAAGCTCACACGTTTCAAAAAGCTTGCTTTAAATGTCTGTGAGTAAGGAAAAATTAGGGCATTCAGCAAGCCCACGTAACTACTATAATAAGACAATATAATAAGGAGTATAAGATGAGAATTAATTGGTATTAAAAGTAAAGTACATTTATTCTGGGTAGGACTTGCTGTCAAGAGAGGATTCCTAAATGGGCATAGGCTTAGAAACATCCATTTCTGATTGTTACCTGCATTATCAGCAAACGTTGTATTTTTGGGAGCAGAATATGATTATACCCAGTTGTTTCAGGAAGGGAACATACAATGTCAAGTCAAATCTTTGTGAGGTGATGGTATGTTATTAGTCTGTTACAGTGCACAGAGACTGACCAGAGGGATTTCACTTTTAAAACTGTTTCTGGAAATGCAGCTCTCTTCTTTCCCCCATCTCTTTTTCCACTCCCTTCCTCTCTCTCTCTCTCTAAAATTTTTTATTATAGATATTATTCTAAATTTGAAAAAATTCTCTGCCAGTTCTTGTTACATGTGCTGATAAACCTCTCAGTTAGTTTAGTCTTGGTTGAAGTTGGCCAAATTAGTTAATATAAATAAAATACAATTTATATTTTTTATAACCCATATCTTTATCGTTCAGAGAATAGTTACATATTTTATGCTTAACTTCAGAATGTTGTAACTCCTTTTGCAAACATAGGGACAGAGAGCCTATGGTATCTGCTTAGTGTATATTTTAGATATCTAAAATCTGTGATTTGAGCTCTACAGTTGTCCCTGCATTTCATCTTTTGTGATTGCTGCCATTAGAATGTGTGAGGTTTTCAAGGATATTTGTGAACTTCAAGTTCTGCTTCAGCGAACTTGAACCAGTTTTGGAAAGATTTCCTGTGCTTCACTAGCTCTCAAGTTTAAATTCCAGTGTAGAATGGTGTAAGAGACCTGCAATCCAGGTTGAATCATCCCAAATTGAGATTTGTATCTTCACTGTAAGGGTGTCACTGAAACTTTGGGAACCTGAATTTCAAATGAAGGGTTTTCAATCTGGCTGCTTGTATACAGATCCTATTCAGCATGCTTGTAAAGAACTTTGGAAGGTGATGATTAATCATGAGATACAGACTGCTGATTGATTAAATGTATTTAAATAGTCAAAAGTAAAGTCGAGTCTAAAGAGGTAAAACATGGTTTTGTGAAACTAAAAATGAAATGACAGATGAAATTCAATTTTGGTAAATACAAGGGAACACATGTAACTAAAGATGCATTTTAACCTAGTAGTTACCATTCAAAAAGGAGATTTTATGGTAGTTGTGATTAGTCCAATAAAACTGTTGTCTCAACACTAGTTGAAGAGGCAAACATTTTTACAAAACTGTCAAGTCAAAACTGTTGAGTATAACCCTTCTGAAATCTAGGTGACCCTGTTACCTTAAATATTACAGGCAAGACTGGTAAAAGTCCCCAAAGTAACTAGAGCTACAAAGAGCAAGAATAATAACTAAAGAATAATAACTAAGAATAATAAATAATAACTAAGAATAATAACTAAAGACATGGAAGAATTTCTTGTTGAGGGCTAATTAAATGGTTGTATACCATCTCCTTAGAAAAGAGAGGACTACGGTTGTGGAGAAGGTCTAATAAATGATAAATGCTGTAGACAAGGCAGCATTTTTTATTTGTTAATGTAAAGCAAGGATGAAGGTATACTAAATAAAGTAATCAGGCAGCAGGTTTAAAATCCAACAGAAGAAATATCTATTTCATAAATGCATAATGAAATTTTGGAATTCCCTGTCTGATGGTATGATGGAGATCTGAAATGTGAATAGGCTCAAATGGTTTTTCATTGGTTTGTGCTGTAATGAATATGCCTGTTTGTGCATTTTAAAGAACATGCAATCTTCAGCTACTATAATCTCTGCCTTGGGAATTCTCTAAACTTCTATCTGAAAGGATATACTGTTCTCATTTTTCTCATTTCTGTAGCATTTCTTAACAGTAGACCTTTGTTCAAACAATATATGGCAGTTCTTATGATCTTCAGACATTTGCAAACAGGATTAATTTTTTCACTATAAATGGTTTCTCTATGGAGTGTGATACTAAATTCTTGTATATGGTTGTTCTCTGATCTTGTGAAGTGCATTTGCAAAATATCCATGCTACAATGTGTTGTGTTTGAAAACAGCAAGTTGATGGTCTATGTCTTTCTCAGTGAGTTCATGCATATGAGCTTTGCTACACGCAGTATTTTTGGCAGTCATGGGTGATTGTAAGGACAAAACTGCAGGTGTAAATTTATAGCCTGGGCTCTCTGCTGTTTGCTTCATTGCTGTTGTTTCTGTTCAAAAAAAATTGTTTCTGAAAATATAGTTACATCAGTGGTCATCTCGAACAACTAACTTTGGACCAGTAATTTTATGTTGATTGCTATTAAAACAAAACAACAACAACAACAAAAAAAAAAACAACAGAGCTGTTCTTTTTTTTTTTTTTTTTCTGCTGGGGGTCTCATACCACTTATTCTGTTGCAGATCAGTCCAGAAAGAGCTGAAATTTGCCTTCTTATGTGCACGGAGGTTTTTCTTTTCCTGTAAAGAAGCAACCAAAGTTGTTTTGCAATACCTGTTCTGCTAGTGATTTTGGGGGTGTAGCGTAGTCTGTGTTTCACTCTATGTACCTATTAATTTTAGGGCCAATTCATTATTTTCAGATTATGATTTCTTGTTTGCTTTTATTATTCATAATAGGCATTGTGTTGCTTTAGGACTAATGCTACAAGTTTGTGGAAGTATGTCAGGTCTTTCAGTTTACAGTACTGGTTTTCCTGTTAAAAGGAGTCCCAATGAATGGAGGGGAAAAAAAAAAGAGGGGGGGAGAAGAAAATAAATTCTCTGGAATTTTGAAATTGTCTTAAAAAATATATTGTCAGCAAATTATACAAAGTTTTTTTGTTTTGGTACAGAATGAGGAAGAAACATATTTAAGAAATTCATGACTCACTTGCAGAGCCATTTTTGTTCCTTAAAGTCTCTCCTTTCTCCTTTGGCCTAAATTTGACGTGGCTGGCATGTCTTCCTCACAGCAAAGAGCCTGGAAAGCCAAAAGTGGTGCAGCTGGTCCCTAGCTTGCTCATTGCTGGGGGAAATCTTAATTAAAGCCTTCTTCATTATGTATTACTATGTCCTCAGAAATGATCAGATGCTACAATGAATATTCAGCAGTATAGGAAGCTTCAGCAAACACTGGGTAGGAAATGCAAGTTCTTTGGCGAATGGGCTGTTTTTAGGGTAGATAATGGTAGGCAGAAGTAGAGTTTTGGAAAATTTGGCCTTTGCTTTGCATTTGTAATGGTCTGGGCACTCTGCCTGTCACTACACTCAGGTCCTGGATTTTCTGCCAGTCATCTGCTATTTGATGCAATGACATCCAGACACACTTCTCACCAAGTCCCACCGGCCTCCTTGTTGCTCTATGCACCAAGATTTAAACCAGATTAAAAAGCAACTATGAGAACCACATCACAAACAGAATACTTAATATCTGAGAAGCACACGTGGGGCTCTCACAAGTCACAGCACATTTCATCATGATGCAAGTGATGGAAGAACCAGTGGATATCAGCTGAGAATGAGCAGATGATGCAAACATAGGACAGCTTCCCTGGAACACTGTACCTGCACTGATAGATGAAGTGAAATGTTGCATCGAGTTAAGAAGAGTATTTTGCAATGTTACAATTGTGTTATTTCAATCTGTGAAAAATCTGCTTAATATTAATTTATAATTTAGATTTTTGCCAATGGGAACATGGAAAGTATTGATAAATCTATTCCCTAACATAGAGTACTGAAAATGCACATCTTAGTATTGTCTTAATAGAGAAATTCTTCCATGCTCAACATGGTAGCTGGTAGGTTGAGATTTTTTTTTATTTTTTTTTTAAAAAAGGCTCTTCATTAAAACAAAGATTTTTTTCCCTCTGCATGTGCCTTGTAGGCTTCTCACTCTGAGGACAAAGAGCTTCCAATAAAATGTTTTGTAATTTATGGGAGGAGTGGTATTGGGTTTACGTGGCAACGGTTTTGTAGCAGGGGGCTGCAGGGATGACCACTTTGAGCAGAGCTGCCCCATGTCAGAGTGGAGCAGATTCTTGACGGCTCCAAAGGGTCCCGCTGCTGGCCAGAGCCGAGCCATGAGTGACACTGTTTGGGCCTCTGGGAGAGCAGGTGCTGTTGTGACACTGAGCTATGGATCAGCAAACTCAAGGGGGTTGGAGGGAGAAAATAGTCATATTTTTGATCTACTCAGTCCTGAATTCTCAAAGTTATGCTTTCAGTTTGGTAGTGCATTAAAATATACCTTTTCCCTTTCTTCTTGAAACTGTTTGCACTTTTTGAAAATGTATGTCTGCCCAGATCTTGCTTATTCTCAGTATTTCCAAGGTCAGGCTAACAGCAACATTCAAGGACTCAAGAATCAGGTTCTGATTCAAGCTTCAGTGGTGTAAAACTATGGTAAGACATGCCATTTCAGTGGTGTCACTTCGAATGTGTTTTTGAGAACAAGACATACTTTTATTATTACACTGAATACATTTTAGTATGTTTAAGAAAAAATAGAAAAAAAAGAAAAAGGGGAAAAAAAAAAAGGCTCAACCTACTTTAGACCCATCATTTAAGCCAAAAATCATTAAAAAGAAAATCTGCAGAAGAAATCCTGTTGGCATTTCAGGCACAGAATGTAACTGAAAAATGCTTTTATACACAGATTCATACCACCGTTTCTGTCCAGCAGGTGACTTTCTACATTAAAAGGTTTGTAGAAGTAGAGATTGTAAGAGGATGAACAACCT